ATGATTTCAGTGCCAAGCTTGGTGACTCAAGCCTGTAATCCCAGCACTTTGGGAGGCCAAGACGGTCGGATCACTAGAGGTCAGGAATTCGAGACCAGCCTGGTCAACAGGGTGAAACGCGCCTCTACTAAAAATACAAAATTAGCTGGGCGTGGTGGTACATGTCTGTAATCCCAGCTATTGGGGATGCTAAGGCAGGAGAATCTCTTGAACCTGGGAAGCGGAGGTTACAGTGAGGCAAGATCGCGCCACTGCAGTCCAACCTGGGCGAGACTCTGTCTCAATAAGAAAAAAAATAATAAAATTTAATGATTTCAAACTAGAGAGGCACTGCCGGAAGTTGAGTTTTCTGCAAGCTATAGGAGACAGTGCCACCTACTGGCCCTGAAACTTGCCCAGCCTTAGAAAGGGGCGGGAGGACGGAGTAGGTTTGGGGGCAAAATGGCACAAGTGGTTTTGGTGGTCAGTCTCAAGCGGTTTTGGTGTTGACACAATCTGGATGCCTTATCACCTTCTCCATAAAGAGACTTGGAGCTCACTGAGGCTTCTTGTCCACAATGGACTCTTGGTTTCTAGACTCTCAGGGGAAGGAATGGGAAATGATGTGATGTGATCTCAACTCCGGGACCTAAAGCAGTGGTTCTCAAACTCCACTGCACATTGGAAGCACCTAGAAGCATGGGGAGCCGGAATCCCAGCTACTCAGGAGGCTGAGAGGGGAGGATGGCTTGAGCCCAGGAGTTAGAGGCTGCAGTGAGCCATGATCACACCACTGAACTCCAGCCTGGGTGGCAGAAGGAGACACTATCTGCTCTCCCCCCCCCAAAAAAATGCAGATAGGAGTTTAAATACTCCAGAGGCTCAGGTCTGCCCTAGACTGATGAAGTGCTCTAGAATAGGACCCGGGCATCAGTAACTAAACTCAGGGGATCCCGACGTGCAGCTAAGACCTCCTGCTGTCAGGGCACGGGGGGCATCCTGTGCTCTTTCACCCAAAGCCGACCTCAGAGGACTTTCAGTCTAATGCAGAGAGCCAGCAGTGTCCCTTGTGCATTGTCTCGTGCTGTCTTAAGATTATGCCTAAAAGGTGCCACCCTCAAGGTTGGAGATAGCTCTACATATAGTTCACTTCCCACTTAAAAAAAAAACAGCTTTGTGAAGGTATAGTTGACATAAAACAAACTATATTTATAAAGTATACAATTGGACAATGTTTGACATATGTGTACACTTGTGAAACCCGTGCCACAACCAAGATAATAAATATATTCTTCAAGGTTGAGCTGCAGGAGTGCTGTTTTACACTCCCATTTCACAATTATTTAATACTTGTTCTATGCCAGACATTGTGCTGGGTGAGAAGAAACCATACTCAACCACTTCCCTGGGGGAACTCGTTACAGGACCAGTTGGGACACGAAGGAGGCAATTCTACTTGAGAGTGCTGGGGGAAGAAAGGAAGAGCTAGGAAAAGCTAGGCTGCTATTAGGAGGTGGGACATTTGGGAAGTTATTAGGTCATGAGAGTACAGCCCTCATGAATGAGGATTAAATGTCTTTATAAAAGAGACCCCAAAGAGATCTCTTGCCCCTTCCAACATGTGAAGTTATAGTAAAAAGATGGCCATTTATGAGGAAGTGGGTCCTCACCAGACGCCAAGTTGGCTGACAAGTTGATCTTGGACTTCCCAGCCTCCAGAACTGTGAGAAATAACTTCTGGTGTTTGTAAGTCATTCAGTCTGTGGCAGTTTGTAATAGCAGCTTGAACAGATTAGGGCATTAGGCAGTTGAAGGAAATGGGCTTTCCAGGTGGAAGGAAAGCATGAGCAAAGGAATGGAGGCATGAAGAGGTGGTATGTTGGCCGGGCATCATGGCTCATGTCTGTAATCTCAGCACTTTGGGAGGCTGAGGCAGGTGGATCACTTGAGCTCATGAATTCGAGACCAGCCTGGCAGCATGGCAAAACCTCGTCTCTACAAAAATACAGAAATTAGCCAGGTGTGGTGGCATGTGCCTGTAGTCTCAGCCACTCTGTGTCTGAGTGGGCAGGATGGCTTAAGTCTGGGAGGTGAGGTTTGCAATGAGCCAAGATCACACCACTGCATTCCAGGCTGGGCAGCAGAGCCTGACCTTGTCTCAGATAATAATAATAATAAGAGTTAGTATGTTTAGGAAACAGCAGGTGCAGCCAAAGTGTTAGTGCACCATGGGGAGGGGCATGAGGCAAAGCCAGCACAATCAGCGATAGTCACTGGATGTCCAGGTGCAACATGCCACCAGCAGTCTGACTTTATTCTATGAGCTCTATTTCTCAGTGGAGGAACCCTGAAAGTTTAAGCAAGGGAATGTCACGATCGGATTTGCATCTTACAAAGTTCATTCTGACAGCCCTTCAAGATGGCAGGGCAATCGGTAAGAAAGCCTTTGCAAAGGTACCAGCAAGCAGAAACAAATGAATTATAGGTCATATGGTGCAAGAATCAAAAAGAACTTTTTGAATGCAAATGCAAAAGCCATTTTCATAAATATTATACATATACATGTTTAGGAGATTATTTTTATTCAAACAATAGCAATGGAAATCTTTGAAGAATGGCCCAGGAAGCCCAGAATTAGGATGGCTCAGGACCTTTGAGAAGCGACAGGAGCTGGCATGCTCTGGTTCAAAGGAGGATTGCGAAGGAGGAAAGTCCTCTTTAGAAATAAGGTTCAAATAGCCTTATGCTAGTACTAAATTCAGAACCATATTTAAATATAAAGGGGGTAACATGCAGGTCAGAAATAAAGTCTGTGATGACAAATTACAGTGGTCAGCCAATTTTAAGTTCTGCCTGCACTAACTCTGCTGCTGTTAACTGATTGGTTTATGGCTAATGTCTTTAGCATGGGCATTAATAAGCTCATAAGAGTGTATTTTTTGTATGTCATTCATCATCTAGCCATGAGAATACAAGAAGAAACATAAGTGGTATCAGTGAGGACTTTTTGACTGCAAAGAACAGGAAAAAACTACTCAAACTGGCCTTGTAACAAAGGAAAGTCCGGAGGCTTCAGGTATGGTTTGATCAAGGTGCCAGGTCCATTTATCTCTGGTTCTCTCAGCTCTTCTCCTCTCCCTGTGTCAGCTTTGTCCCCAGCAAAACAGAAGCAGTTCAAGGCCTCACACCCTCAAGCCCACTTTCCAGAAAAAGAAAGTTTCTCTTTTTCCAAGCTTCCTACCAAAGTTTAGGCTTTATTCTAATTGTATCCACTTATGCCACATGTTCACTTTTTAGGTCAGTTACTGTGGCAAGGAGTCATGGGATTTTACTGGTTGGCTTGAACCAATCAGGGCCAACCTCTGTAGCTGGGAGTAGGATCAGCCCCACCCAAAATGCTAGGCTGCTTCATTTAGGGTAGGAGTGGGATGTGCATGGGAGAAGCAAATGTCTACTATGTGTTAGAATGTTACCTTGGTAATCCAATAACCCCTAATAAGGACAGCAGATGTCAATCACTCCCATTTACCATGTGTCATGTTTGCTATTTAAAATGAAACTAGCTGCTGTGTGCATCATCAAAGCCCCCAAATGCAGCCTGGGCAACATAGCAAGACCCTGTCTCTACAAAAAAAGAAAAATTAGCTGGGCATGATAGCACACTCCTGTAGCCCACCTACTCAGGAAGCTGATTGGGAAGATTGTTTGA